TTTGGGCCTAATGCCAGTTTCTAAGTCTTGCTTGTTTTAGGGGAATAAAATTTAGCTTATGACCCGTCTTCCTCTTCATAGGATGAGACTGTGAGGAGCAAGAATGCTATTTGAAAGACGTGAAACAAAGGTAACAGAAAGGGATGTGTGCAACTGCCAGTTCATTTGTGCAGTATCCAATCAATAAAAACAGCTGCATAAGTTGCTCCTTGATAGATTGCCACCTTTATTCTGATTTTGAGATATACACATTGGTTAGCGTAGCCTTATGATATCTTCTTGGGAAATTTCACATGGAAAACTGCATTTGGTCATACTATCAGAAGACATCTGTTTCCACTAGCATTGCAGTGGTGGCACATCATCAGTAATTAACTGATACCACCTATGTATGTGATCTGCAGAGACTTGTAAAAACTTGTCTCTTGTAAAAATAGATCGCTGTTTATAAACGGTAAGTAACTAAGTTCTTAAGTTCATCTTAAGTTGAAATAATACATGAGTGCAGGGATATTTTTTTTTATTATTTGACTCACTTCAGTTTAGTCACTCAGAGGAAAAAGGGATGATGCTTTATTCTATAATGCTATAATGTTTAACTATGGAAATATAAACAGAAATTGAAAATCTTTGTTCATGTTAACCAAGCCAGAAAACCTAAAGGCTCGTACCTGCAAAGTCCTTCAGGATCCTACCTACTCTTTAGGGTTTAGTTTCAGTGATGTGTGGGTAGTTTTGTTGATTTGAACAATAAACTGTGCATTGATTGGCATCCTGTGCCATCTCCGTGCAGAGCTAATCAAGTGGAAATAGGATTGAGATAAATTTCTCAGGATACTCCTCAACCTACACTTTAATGTGAATTGACAGTGCCTGGCGTCTTTCAGTGCAGATCCACTAACCTCTTCCAAGTTAGATAAGCTACGTAGTTTGGAAGAACTTAAAGATTGTAGCTGTCTATATGTTGTCTAACTTCTCTGATTAACTGGAGGATCTCAGGCCTTCAAGTCATAGCTCCAACATTTTTCATAAATGCTAATAATTAAAGGATGGGGAAGAGCTGATGTGAAGTCAGTTCAGTTCATGATTCATACACAAAATTAGCTCAGTGCTTAGTGAAGAGGCCATCTGGATTACAGTATGGGAAGTTACTTCAAAATATAACTTCGTGTTAATATTGCTGTGCAAAATGAATAATTTCCTTGAAATTCTGACATGGGCCTTAGTATCTCCTCACATCTGTTCCTATAACAGCCTCCCTCAGGGCACTTATTTACGGCTTTATTATTGTAATTTTTTAAAAAACACAGTTAAAATATATTTGAGGAATTAAAAGAAAAAATATTGAACAGGTGGAGTCTCAGTATTCAATTTCAGGAGTTCTAGGGCAACTTTTCTTATTAAAATCCATAAAAATCGTTTGCTGCTATGGTTACAAAGCTGAAAACAGAAGTCTGGAAACATGATTCTTCAGAAATATAAGCAGGGGATAATTAGCATAATGTTGGATCTGGCAGAGTAAAGAGGAGAAAACGAGATAATTTAAAAGCATGCAACAAAGTTAGTACACCACCACCGGAAATGAATCAAATATCTCAGACATATTAACACACTTTATAAACACTAACATCCTAAATGGCACCAGAGACACCAAGGAAATATCAGGCAGACTGTAATTTCAGAATTAAATGGGGGAAATTAAAACGTTTCTGTCGGTATTATTACTTAACAAGAAATGAACTGAGATAAAGTCTTAAAGCATTTAAGACCAGAATCCTATGAGTTCATCCTGGTTTAACAACATCACATTACCAGTAGCCTCATTCATCAGTGGAGACAAAACTGTCATTTAAAAATAAAAGGTGATTTTGAGGAGAAGAGTGATCTTATAATTTATATGATTATTCCCAACTTGTAGTGTAACTGTGCCTTTTGCAGTTCACACAAATGCCCTGTTCCTCCGCAGGACATTTTGCAGGAATGAAGGCTTACCTCCAGGCAATCCTGCAGTCCTGTGTGTTGCTCTCATTTAAATAAAGCAAACAGTTTTCCTCCTGAATGACATTTCAAAGAGTCTAACAACAAAAGTATGGTTCTCATTTAAATTCCATCCACAATTTCAGCCTTGCTATAGTCTTGGAAAAATTAGTTAATGATTTCTTGTAGGTAATATACGTTTTGTCTGATTTTTCTCTTTACAAATTGCTTCTTGCACATCTAGTTTTAAGAAACCTTACTTTTTTAGAATTTGTGGAATGTGAACCATAATCCCTCATTTTAATCTACTATTCTGTTTAATCTCTCACAAAAGGGGTACAGCCCTGATCCTGCTGGAGATGTTGGAGTACCAATGATACATCTAATTATTATCCCTTAATAAAAAGAGATGTTTTTTGGTTTTGACAAGTATGTGACTATAATTCACCAAGAAACCTCATCTCCAGTATGTTTTCCTATCCTGGTATCTACTTGGTTAAGTATCCAAAAATTAAGTATTTATTTTCAACAACCTGTCATGTATCTGAAGGTCACAGTCATACTTTGTACATTGAACTCCTTTTCTACAAATTATTCTCCTCTTCCTGCTATCAAGCAGTTTCCCAGTAGGGCATACCTTTAAGGTACGAAATTACCAGCTGTATGTTCCAAAGAGTTCCATACTGATAGGAAGAAATGATGAAAAATGCTCCCTAAGACAGTAGTTTAAGCATTAACTACCATTTACTGCGTCAAACTTTACTTCTAAATTTTGAAGTAACGTCTGTTTAAATAGCCATAAAGCTTAGCTGGAATCTCACTTTGAAAGAGATTTTGAAAGCGAGTTTGAAAAATTATTGCTATGCTGGATACTGTTCAAAAAAAATCCATAATTTTATTCAAAGCAACTGCTGAAGAATAGGAACTTACCTGCAAAGGATAACATCAGTTTCATCTGTAATGTACCGAATATGACACACCTGTGCCTTTGATTTGTACTGATTCTTCAATTTGAACAAATACTTAACTTTGAGTTTTATTTACTAGGTGGGCTTTTTCCCCATTAATTTAGTGTATTTATTTCATAATAACCTGTTGTTACTGTATTCTCCTCATATTGATGATCTGTGCTAGGGTGATCTCATGTGTTTTCCTCAGATGTTATGTCAACATTGGTTATCTTTGAGAAAATCCAAGAGAACTGGCCAGTCTAATTGCAGCAGTAAGCTGACCTAACCGATCTTACCTCTTTCACACTATGTTCAGCTCATTCAACCCAGACAACCACGTTAAGAAGAAAATTTCAGTAGTAGTTTAATCTAGGAATCACAGTTATGACTACACATCACACTTGTTGAATCTATCAGTGGGTCATTGTGAGTTTGCATAAATCACACTATCTGTGATTGTCATTTTTTTCTTTCCTTAGTACACCTTAGGAAAACCCTTGGTAAATATACAACAGTACAAGGAACTCAAGTGTTTAGATACCGTGGAAGTAGGGAATTTAAAGAAACAGAAGATGATTATCAGTGAACCCTACAAACAATTTTACTGGATCTTCCTTATTTACACAATATAATATCTTAATGATAAATGGCTTGCTCATTAGGCATTTTAAATTATGTGCAAAGAAAGGATAGTGGAAACAAAGAGTTAAAGCTTCTGTACTATGTGCACTTTTTATAGAAAAGAGGGATAATCTGGACAGCATGCAGAACAGACTGAAAGATGCTGATGAGAAGAATTCCGTTCTCCTGAGAACTTTGAACGAAACCTTAGGAAAGCTGTCAGCCATTCCTAACGGTAAGCTGGAAAAGTGCTGCAACACTTGACTCATCCCTGCTCTTTTGTTTCGTTTTCCATCACTAACATCTGTCTGATTGATCTTTGTCTGTGTCCATGCTCTGTCCACTTTGACCATTGATCACTGTAATAAGACGAAGATGAACAATGTGAGAGAGAGAACTGAACTGAAGACACTTACATGGTATTAGTTTGTACTTTGGCACAGGAGAAGGTACCATGCTTCTGCAGTTTGCAAAAGGTTTCAGAAAGAAAAGAATTATGATATCAGGAATTATGACACACTGAGACAAAGAGTCTTTTCTTTAAACATGAAAAGTCGTTTTATGAAACTACTGTTTAATGAACCATTATAACTTAACCAATATAATTTAACCCAAGAAGAATAAAGACTTACTGACTTTACAGAAAAAGCATGATGAAATTTGCTGGGTTTCCTCTTACCTTTTTACCACGCTGTCATTGATTTATGCTGCAGCATTGTTTCCAGTCACTATTTGGTGTTGTATATCTTTTTTAGACTGTAAATTGCTTAGAACTGAAACAGACTTTCCTCAGTGAACTCTGAAGTGCTATGCACCTTGATAATTCTATATAATGAAAAAAAATTTAAAAAAAAAATCTGTAATCCTCATTAAAATCCTGACATCCTGGGATGTTGGCTATTTTGTGATAGCGAGAGACAGGGAGCTACAATGTAGTTTCATTATAATGGACAGTGATAAACTGAATGTTTGTTTTAGAAAATAAAAAGGTTTTTATCAATGTAATCTGCTACAACTTTCCTCTCCAAGGAGCACTTTATAAACTGAAGATATGCCTTAAGAAAAGTCTCTAAAGAAAATCTATATTCTGTCTGATTTGTGATGGTCTGGAAGGTTCAGACCGCAAGTGAAAACTTGGCGTGAAAAACAATTTACTATTCATCTTGCACATTTTAGTGGCTTTAAGATTCCACATAACTGAAAAGTTTTGTTTTACATTTAGGAATCCTTGAAATCAGATATTCACAAAAATTTGTTTTAATATGTCATACTCATCTTATGCCACTTCCTGGGTTTTGGCCACAGGTATTGACATGACGGCTTCTCTTCCTGTGCACAGATAGATGTCTCAGTCAAACAAAATGGACCTCTAAGGCCAGTTGACCTTAGGGCACAGAATACCAAATATGAAAAAGTAAAGAAATATGAAATATGCAACCATTAGTAATGTAATAAACTCTTGTCATATTAGAGTTACAGGGTGCTTGCTCCTGGGACAAGGACACTCGTAAAAACAAGCGGATGTGTATTAAGAACGAAATTCAGAGCAAATAAATGGCATGGATAAGAAAATGCAGTAAATTAGTTGTCCAACAGGGAAATAACCAATGAGGATGGGAGAGGAAATAACCCTGTCATATATCTTGTTCTTCAAGGATTCAAGAAAGCAGAGAGCAGCTTAAACTAATAATTCTTGTGTCCATGCTATACTAATAGCCAAATTAAAGCAGAAAGTTTCAAAATGGGATAGATGGGTAGATCACCTTAGGACAAGGACCCACATACGCAGGGATGGCATAATTTAAAGTGTGGCTGTAAATAAATATAATTTGTGTGACCAATAGAGGGAAGTAACACAGTAACTCCAACTTTCACTCTGCCAGAAAAGTGCATGACCTCTAATAATGGCCTCAAAAAGGGATACTTAGATATGATGAAAAAAGGAGGTGAAAAAAGGCAGTCAGAACTCTCTGTTCTTTCACTTGTCAGTACTGATGATGATAATGGTTTATTAAAGGTTCAGTTATATTTTCAAGGTGCTATTGTATTTTCGGGGCTTTTCAGAGCCAAAACTTCAGAAATAAAGGTGGAGTTGTTTGGAGCACAGGTATACTATAACTTTACTCAAGAAAGTAACAAGGGTCATGTAACTCTCCAGTGTGCAGGACAAACCCATCAATTCTCTATGGCCTTTGGAAGCATCCCATGCTTCCCAGGCCACAGGCTTGATGACATCAGATGTTCCACAGAAGGAGAAGGACCTGCCTAGGAGACCATTTGGAAACCTATGCTGTTGATCCCTTGAAATGGAGAAAATGTTTCCCATGTCTTCATACAGTCGTGGAATTGCGAATGTGCAATCTGCTCCACCAAATGTTGGGATAAACTGACTCTTATCAACTACCTCTTAAATCAGAAATTGAAAGAAATCACAACCTCCTGTGCCTTACCCACTACTGGAATGCAGTCTGTTAACTTCACGGACTACCACAGGAAGCCCCAGTCAGTATGGCAAGTGGCACTGTCTCTACATGGTTGTTTCAGAGATGTCCAAACTTCTGAGTTGCACTCCAAAATTCTCATATGAGTGAGAGACACGAGGATACCTTGGAGAACAGAAAGGGAAAGCAACTCCAAGAAGAGTTTCACAGGAAGCAGGTGTCAAACCAGGCTCCTGCTAGTCTCACGACTCCCCTGTGGTGTGGTGGTAGAGTGGGAGTTCACATAGGTTCCCTTGCAAGCTGGAGTGTCCACCACAACATTTTCTGCTTGCTCACTTCCTCCCATCTGTGGGACTTCAGAAAATTTGGCACCTCCCTAGCCCAGCACAGCCTGTGCTGCTGGCTCATCACGTGATGTAATCTCGGTGTGGCAACAGCTCCTGAGCTGCATGATAAGTTTTAAAGCAATCCAATTTACTAATACAGGATTTGGATAAATACCTACTTGAATACCTAACTGTCTGATTTATCATTTATGAACAGCAGAATCAAAAACATTCCAGACTTGAATGTTTTCACCCCAGAGATAGAACATTCATTTCAGTTTTGCAGGCAGAGAGGTGGGGCAGCTCAAGGTCACCGAGGATGTCTATGGATGCATGTGATTAACTCAGTCAATGGACTCTTGGTGTCCTGATTCACAAGATTATTTGTCACAATTTCAGCTGAAACATATGGATTCAGATTTCTGTACTCTGTACATCAGAACATTGAAAATTCTATTTCTATTATAAGTATCAAATATTCTATCTGACACTTGGTCAGAGATTAACTAGTGAGTCAACAGCAACAACAATGCACAAAAATTTACCTAATGAAAATGATTTGTCCTTTATATACAAATGGGACTGAAGCATTTTCTCTTCTTCAGGTGCATTTGATGTCTAAAAAAAGACGTAAAGGGCCAGATTCTGGAATCCACATTTGTAATAGTAATGTCTTACTATGTGTGCGATATGAACTCTCAAGGAACTACACAACACAATTTAAGATGGTAGAATTTTGACCTAACTTTATTCTTAAGATGTGTGAAGGAAACTTCTGTACACTAGGCAATCATTTCATTATCCTTTTCTACCTACAGATACAGCTATAAAGGTACAGGCAGCCAAAGACAAAGCAAGACAAGCCAATGATACTGCAAATGACGTCCTGGCCCAGATTAAAGACCTCAACCAGAATCTCCTGGGCTTGAGAAACAACTACAGTAAGCTTGCAGACGACGTGGCAAAAACAAATGCTGTTGTAAAGGATCCTATCGAGAACAGTAAGATATTTTTGGGTTGTTTGGTGGTGTTTTTTCCAGTTTGTGGTTTTCATTTCATATCTCAAAATGAGACAGAGATACTCCAGAATTTCACTCACATAGTGTAACTGCAGTATGCTAGGATAAAAGGAATCTCTATCACTTCTATTTTCTGGACTTTATATATAAAAAGAATTTTAAATCTTAAGGACTGCTGCTAGTAGTTGGGGAAAAAGCTAATGTCAGCAGGATGAACATGTAGTGGATAGATTTGTTCCACAGACTACTTTTTAAAGTATTTAGGAGGTGAATAATCAAAGATTCTGACTGGCAATTCACCCTTTGATTCAAGCAAAATTCCATGCACTAACCCTGTCTTCTTCAGTCAGTAAGATAATCAGTTCTGGGAGAAATTCATGACTTCTTTCATACATGTTACTAATTTTGGTAGAACACTGAAGACACTCAAGAAGAAAGAGAAAAAGATGATTCTGGGAATGGTTTTTATTATGCTGCCTTTTTTTTTTTTTTTGACAGTGAATTCTCTTATCAAATGTGACAATTGCTTTAGCATTTTCACTTTGGTTATGATAGATAAAGTTGAATTCTAAATTACCACACATTTTATGGTAGATTACTAGAAGATATCATATAGGACTATACAGCCAGGGCTGACCACAAAACCAGAGTGTCTTTAGAAAATTACTGAAGGACTAATTTCTCAGCTAACCTGGGCTCCCCACATTGTTGTCAGGTTGATGAAGCTGGGGACCTAAACACATCCAATTTAGGAGGTTGTCATTTTCATTCTATGAACAAATACCTTCTCCAAATTGTAGCTGTACCAGTGAAAGAGGTTAATCCCAATGGCTGTTTGTCACTGCCTGCCTACTGCGAGTTCCTGATCCCTCATCAACTGAGATATATGTGTGAGCCCCAGGTATAACCCCCATCAGGCAGACTGATCCGTACTAGTTTAGACAATATGAAAAGTAATTATTGATTGAAATAGTGTGGTTAGATTGTGGTGGGTTATGGAACAAGCAGATCTATGAGGTAATGACCTCTGGCAAGGTAGTGAAAAACAACTGAGAAGTGGCCTAAAAGGAGTGATTTCTTGGTACTGATGGATCTAGACTAGGCCATCTGTCCTAACCCAAGTATTCTAAGACTGTGTGTACATTAATGTTAAGATAAATGTTAAGATCAATGTGAATGAAATAATGGTGACTGGGGACAATCAAGAGATTTAGTTGAGACTAGGAGCAATAATTTAGAAGTGAATCTCTTGATTGTCCCCAGTCACCATTATTTCATTCACATTGATCTTAACATTTGCAAACTCTTTCATGTCGGGTAAAGCTTAACTGGAAGATGTTCTCCAGAAGTACGCTTTTACCACTCTCCAACTGCTAATGGATACTCAGATTACAGAATGAGATTAAAGTAAACGCAGAGTAAAGCACTCCAAATGTATATCATGAGTATGTTGGCATTCATGACTACATGCTAAAGTAGACATAGCCTCTCTTGTATGTCAAAATTCAGGCCATGAAGTCTCATTATGTAAATGTGCAATATATAAAAGGTAATAAGGTTTTTCTAGATTAATCTTGTCCCTTAATTTACTTTATATTTCTGTTTAGATATTCAAAACATTTTCTTATGTTATCTTCTGTTTTTTCTCTTTCCTTTGTCTCCTTATCTTGCCTACAGAAATCAGTACGTACGTTTTCTTTCTTGATGCTTTTATTGTACCTTTTCCAGTAAATGATGATTCACTGCTTACCACCAAAGCTTCTGCATGGTGCTCTACATTTCACATTCATTGAGATAATTAAATAGTTGCTTTTTGAAGGCTCTGAGATAAAATGACTTGGTAACTAGTTTCACTTACGTGAAACCTTAAGAAGCGTTTGAAGGTTTGGTATCAGAGTTTCGGTGACTATTCAAAAAGTAGATATGCAGACTTTAGTGCTTTATCTAAGCATTATTATTATTATTATTATCATTATTCAATATACATTGTTCTAGTAAATATAGGTTTGTCCCTTTCAGAGTCATCTGCACTAACCCGTACCCTTATGCCAACCAAGTGTTGCAGTCCTTAGATCTGCTGATGAATTGCCAGAGGGCATTGTTCACTGGTTGTATGTTGAGAGGCAAAATAGTCATTTGAAGCTCAAAGAAAAAGAGAGAAAAAAATATCCTTGTGAAGTGCTTCATTTCAAAAAGAAAATATTTGCAGTTTACCGCCACTGTTCTTTAATCTGCTTTCAGTACACATGCAGAATTTTAAATTTGTGACCAGAATAAACCTTTTTTCTAGTTATGGCCATTAGAGTTAATTCAAGAATTAACTTCAAGATAATTTTAACCCTATTTCAGAAATTACTAATGGAAACTAACCAGTTTTCATTAATCTAGCCTTTTTCTTCAAAATTGGAGTTTAAAAAATAGAAAGTAAACATTTCATTCATAAGTGTATTTTACTACAGGAAATATTTTCCATTAATGCCGTTCTGACCTGAAGCATAGTTATTTGCTTCAAAAATCCTGCTTTAGCACCTTAATTTGCTACTATTGCTACTTTAACTTGATTCTAAACATCCTTAAATTATCTTATTCCGTTCAAGTGGCTTCTCGGCCTGTGTGTACCTCATAGTAGCATATAGAATCACCTGAGTATTGTGTATGAAGAATTTTCTTGGATTTTATTATTGCCGTGTGTGATTACTCTCTGACACTATTCTCTAAAACTCTGCTTTGTTCTTTGTTATGAAGTTGCTGATGCAGATTCCAGTATTAAAACCCTAGAAAAGGAAGCAGATCGCCTGCTAGATAAAATCAAACCAATCAAAGAACTTCAGGATAACTTAGGGAAAAACATTTCTCAGATAAAAGAGCTGATAAACCAAGCTCGGAAGCAAGCCAATTCGGTAAGCCCTTTTTCTCAGGAAGATGACCTTTTGCATGTTGATGGGATTTTATTTTCTACTTTTCTATTTCTTTTCCACAGTGTGAATCCTTTCTAATTCTAAACATGTGTAAAGAGAGCAAGTAACGGAGTATAATTTCTCAGATAAAAAGAGAATATTCTGATGATTTTCACTCTGTGTCTTGTTTCTTCATTTAAAACATGCCCTTGTTAAATGGATAACATCTGTAGAAATGTATCTGGAAAGGTTATTATTTAAGAACTATTGTGGATAATAGTACAGCAGAAGAGCCACAACATCATTGATTTTCTGGGAAAATGAAAACGTATTTTTTTTTGCCTCAGCACTGATATTAAGCCCCTGATTTCATTTCATAGAACTTGTATTACCTGAGACTGACACCATTTCAAATGCACTGAAATTGCTGAGTGTACTTGCTTTTCCCATTTTCTTAACTTTCTTTATCCAGTAGCAGCTCTGAGGACTTGAACTTAAGTTAAGAATATATTTCTAGTCCATTTAATGAGTTTGGAGTCCGCCTCCCTGACACAGTAATGCTCTAATCTTGAGGCTCAGCTGGTTAGTACTAAGGTGATTCAGCTTGTGACCTAATACAGCAAAGGAAAAAAAATTCTTGAAGAGAAAGAAAATTTCCTGAAAAATGGTTGGAAAAAAAAATCTACAGAATAATAGGATCCTGGGAAAGTGTATTCCATATACTCAATGAAATTTGCACGTGATAGAAAGACAAGCTACAGTGATGGTATGGTTTTGTTACATTCATCTTCTGTCTGAAGGCTTTGAAGTACTTAACTGCTCAGCATTTCTGAGATAGGGAAATTGTGAGTTTGGTCGTATAAGGGATCTCCTTTTTGACAAAGTTTGCCCTAAGCATAAGGTGATACGATTATTGTACATCTACTCTAATACATAAACATGTCTAGCTGGAATTGAACTCCCATTGTACTGTCATCGTGTCTATCCTGGCATTATGAAAGCAAACAGTATACTGTTTTTATCCGTGCTTAGAGCCTGAGGAAATTAGCACACATATCCCAATGCATGTGTCACTCGGCTGTGAAAATGAAACTTAGTTATGAATACCAACTCCATTAGGGGCTACGTAAAAACAGTGATAGACACAACTGTTAGTTTAAAAATAATTGTTAAGAGATGTCTTAAATTGGCATTATCAAATATATTACAAGGAAAAAATAGATCATTCTCTCTACCTGATAGCAATGTGCTGTGATCCCTTCAGGAGTGCTGCTTATTTTCCTGGCTGTGCACTCTACTTAGAGACTATCCCTACTGCTTGCGTTACATCGGTATATCTTCTAGCTGTTTTTAATCCATGCGGTTTGTCCTTTCAAATCTGAATGCCAGAAAGAGCCTTTATGTCCTTTTAATAAACAATCCCAGAAAGAAAATTCCATTTCTACCTCTTGTGCATATCGAAGCAATTCCCTGGTACACGTAACACAGAAATAGGAAGGAAGAAAAAAAGAAGTATAATATTGTTACAATTATTTGGAAGCATCTAAAGTTATTTCTGGAATAATAAACAGTAAACTGAATTCTTTCTGCTATGCTTTTTTTGAAGATTAAAGTGTCTGTGTCCTCTGGAGGCAATTGTATTCGCACATACAGACCAGAAATAAAGAAGGGAACATACAACACCGTTATTGTCAATGTGAAGACTGTGGTTGCTGACAATCTGCTTTTTTACCTTGGAAGTGCCAAGTTTGTAAGTCTGTCTCCTGCTTTTCATGTCAGGGTTGCTCGATCAAATCAGACTACTGACAAATACAGAAATACAGAATATGAGAAAGGCTTTTTTTTTCCTCCTAGAGGCTTCAAAGCAGTAGTAGAGAGCCTAAGATAATCTAGACATTTACTGTCTTTGGTATTAATATAGGGACTTCTAAAACATGACCAGCAAATGTAGATATGAAATACAGATATGAAATGGGAGACTTGTACATGGACTACATGAGAGCTTTAAAATTCACAGTGCAACCAGGGTAGTTTTTTGGTTGGATGTGGGTTTTCCCTTGGGAATTAAGTAGCTACTCAACTTGCATCTGTCAAAGCTCCTATTTATTTTAAGTTTAAGTCAAGACTACAATTCCAAGCATAATAATGATGAATGATTCAGTTTCCATAAACCCTATAGCAGATAGAATTCTAGAATAATCAATAAAAATTCAGTAAACGAGAAAAGTATTCCATTTGTAACATTTCAAACTATTTATTTTGTTTACCTAATACAAAATGAAGAGGCTAGGTGGCATCATGTATTAGCCTAGAATCCTGACATCTTTCTGCCATCCAATGGATATTTTACCAACAATATTACTCTGACTTAAATCCTTCTCTTAATCATCTTGAAGATCTACAATACTAACATTTCTGTAATCTAGCAGTCATTTAGTGCTTATCTCTGACAGAAGTCATTTGCCATCTTTGGCTTAAGATTCCTTGTCTGAACCAATGAAAGCAGGAAAAAGAGAATCTTATTTTAGATCACTGTAAGAATGAATGTTCATACTTTACTGTCTGTATATGGGTTTCTGATGCCCCGTTAGACCCCCTGAAATGTGAAGAGTTCCGGAAAACTTCCCTTCATTAAAGTAAGAGATTACTCTTCTGTTTTCATATTTTAAATGTAGACTGACTTCTTGGCCATAGAGATGCGCAAAGGCAAGGTGAGCTTCCTGTGGGATGTAGGATCTGGTGTTGGACGGGTAGAGTATCCAGATCTGACCATTGATGATGGGTTTTGGTACCGGATTGAAGCCTCTAGGCAAGTATATACTTTACTTCCAAGATTTGGTTCCTAAAGAAAAAAATGGCTAAATTTAACAAGTTCTGCTTCTAATCCACTGCCCTCAAGTTGGCATACCTCAGCTTTACATGGAAATGCTTGCTATGTTTGAAACACTGACTTTTTTAAAAAAAGATGATGACATAAATATGATAAACTCTAATCTAGTTTAATGAAAGCTTTTGAACCTACATCCAATAGTACCAAAAATATATACCCTACAATTACTGTTGAAATTTGAATTGTTCTGTGTCAAGAATGTATTTTCATCATATTTGTCCTCTAGTATCAACAATCTATGACTGCTTATATTCCTTTCTGTTTACTTATCACTCTATCGATTCTCTTCTTCAACTAGCTGCCTTTTAAAATTGGTTACAGGTTTTGGCACTCAAACAGATAACTACTATTATTTTCTCCTTGAATTTCAAAGAGGAGCAGCTTTTCTGAATTTCTGATCTTGATACAGTACTGCAAATGAATGGTCTGTCATACACCAGTATCTTGATTCTTACTCAAACCACCATTTCCATAGGCAGAATGTCTCTTCAAATTGGAGATATTTAAAAATACACAGTTTATGAAAACTCAAGGATTAAATATTCTGGAAAGTTAAACTATACTTTGTAATTTGAGATCAACTGTTGAATGCTTTTGAACTTTAGAAATATACATAACTTAATATTCAAATTTCACATTTGTTAGTTGAAGCTTATATTTTCCATTCAGATGGCGAACACATGACATATGGTGTAGTAATTACAGCATAAGGATTGCATAACTTTATATCCTTTATCTTCTGCTTCTGAACAGTTCTTAGTAATTTAGATAACATCCTCTATATTGCAATTTGGTATGAAGCTGAGTAATTCCCCCTGCATCGTTACAGTTAATTTCACATAGTATTAAACAGAGAACTGATAATATAGTAAGAAAATGAGAGAAAGAAGGAGAAGGAAAACAAAGCACTCTCATTCTGGTTACATCCATAGCTCTCAGAGGAGGAAATGGCATCCAGTTTAAATAATTTAGTGAAATCACAGAAATCAGTCTTTCAGAGCAGAGAATTAAATAAAATTATGGCACTATCTCCAGAAGCTGGCTTAATAAAACCTTATTGCTAGAAAAATACAAAATGGGGTATGATTTCTATGTTGAAATCTTCACCAGTTCGTATTATGCATACTAAAACAGCTTCATGACACAGTAATGCCAGACTTTCATTTACAAGAAAGCTGCTTCAGCAGAATATGGAGCCAGGACATGGTATAAAAATTCACACATCCTACAAAAACACATTGCTTATTAAGCTGGTTGTTCTGGATATATAGGGTGTGCATGCCATTAGTTTTGAACAAACTGCTGGATCAGCAATTTAGAACAATTACAGCTGCACAAATCTGAAGTACAGAGCAGTGTTTGGGAGATTTACATTGCAGAAACAGTAGTTGGATTTGTGGGATTAAGATGAAGAACTCGGGACTGATTGTGTATTCTTAAGGCAGACTTCATAAATCATGTACCCTACTGAAGACTATTCAACTTTGAACATTTTAGTCCATTTGATAACTCTCTTCTGACTCCCTTCATAAGCTATTGGAGAGTTTTCCTCGTTTCATTCCTTTACCTTTTTTCTCCAAATTTCTGCTCAGTTCCAGCCACAGACTTTTTCAGAAGCCTGGCAGAGCTGCCTGAACAGCTGGAGCAGGACATCCATTTAGAATGGGGACATAAGATGAAATTCTGGCCTTGCTGAATTTTACCATTGATTTCAGTGGTGACAGACATTGACACACAATAATAAGGATATGATAGGTTTAAAGGTTGATAGCAGTTCTTAATCAAGGATCCCAAAGGGCCTTAAAAATAAGAGACGTGGTGGCACAGAGGTTGTGAAATTCTAACAAGGTCACTCAGCATACTGAATGAAATCTAAATGTGAAAAAGCTGACTGTTGAGTAATTATCAGAGGTGTTCAGTTCAGTTAATGTCGGCACCAAAATTACCAGTGTGTTAAGACTAAATTGATAATTACCGGTTCTGTTTTCCAGGGACATTTTTAATTTTTGTCACCTTTTTATTTAAAGCATACTAATAGTTTGCATTTTATTGTATATACAGAGGTTATAATGGAAATATTTTATTTTTTTTAATTGAAGTAAAATTTGTTTATTCATGTAGGAATTTCTAAAGGAATTCCATATACTTTGATGGTAGAGGAATTTAACAAATGTCACTTACAGAGTTACATACCTGCTTACGGAGGCAAATCTGATTGGCATCAAGAACTGCAATCAATCAAAGTATCAATTAACAGAGGAAAATCTGGCATAACAGTATGTGACAGAATGATTTAAAGCAGATTTACAACATGCAAACAATGTCAATTTTGTGAAACAGTCAAATGGATGACAGAATATTTTGGAGACTCACTAGATCCATGAAACAATGTCACTTGACTTCAGCACACCTCAGTTAGAAGGAGCACCTGAGTAGTTGTGATTTTGATCAAGTGTGATTTAAGTACTACCATTGTTTTAATTGCCAATGACAGAGTTTAAGCAGCACTCTTCTTTGAGGACAAGGAATGCTGGAATCACAAGTTCACTGTAGACACATCCAGCCCAGCTCAGCAAGAATTCAGTCTTAAACTACCGTGGCAAATCTAAGCCATATTTTGCAATGAAGACTTTCTGTGCTCTCAAGGGGTCAAGGAGCAGAGGTTTCTACATGGTATTTTGTAATCTAATGTTGATGACTTGCGAAAGTCATCTCATTTACATTATGCATCTCCTAACCTGCGTGCGTGGCATTACAATAAATTTTTCAGATGATTGGTCACATAATGCTGGTACATCTGTAATCCTCCAGTTTTGCAGAACTGACTATCACTAGAACAATATCTTCTAACCTGATGACTTGTGATGTACAGGATAACAATGCCTTTTTGCTGTCAAGTTAGCCAAGTTCTTTCTTCAAGCTCAATTGTCCTCCCTAAATAAGAGAGAATTATTTATGGAAGAGACTCCATTGTTAGCATTTCAGTCTGTTTGAAGATGAAAGATATCCATGCTATTTGTGACATATTAGACACCCTAAAATGTGTCAGTGTGCTCAGTGACTTCTGCATTATTGCACTTGGATGTTTCTAAACTGGAATCTTGATTTCAGCACAATATCGATTGAAAGTGCCAATGGCTAACTTTCAGAGACCGTTGTACCTAAGCAGTTTAAAAGAAGTCTTTAGCAACTGTTAGTCTTTCAACAATTACTACACTGAGAACTTTTATCCTTTAAAGGGCTTCACATCAATAAACCTTCTGAAAAAATAAATTAAAAATTTGGAATTTCTGCTGCATAGAAAACTATCGACTTAGCATTCAGTTGATCTTTGAATAAAAGGTAAAATATTGACATTAAAAGGAAATTAAGAAATTCTTTACAATAATGTGGATGGCTTTAGCCCATTTCTTTAAAATTATTTGGACATCATGTTCACATACCCCAGATATGACTTAGGAGATTCACCAAGAAATGGAGAGTCCCATGCATGTGGTTTCCAGAGCTGCCAGGTCAAGGTATGGGTGCATAACCGAGAGCTCCAGTGTTTTTTTTAAATATATATTTTTCACATTGAAAGCCCTGAGATCCCTGACTACAAAGCAGGCAAGATGGCACAGATCTACAAAGGCATTCCCCATTGATTGGAAACTCTCAAAATTACTTTGCAACCCTGCTTCACAGTTCAGGAGAAATTTATCAAAACTGAAATGGCTCAATTAATTTTTTTTTTTTTTTTAAGTGGCTTTTTTTCCGGTTCTATGTTGTTTCATAAGAAAACTCTCCACTCATTCTTTTTTTGGGGGTAATATGTTCTGAGCCAAAAGAAATGCTGAAGAGTGTTTTTCAGACATAAAATGCATAGTCTTATAGGATTTTTTCACCCTTTAGAGCCCTGGCTCAGTAAACTTTCTAAGCCCAGGAATTGTATAAGTACAGGGTAACAACGTCTTCATTTAGCTTATTCAGTAACCTAAATTATGCAGTCTTCCTTGCTGTGCTCTAAATGTAAGTTCTTCAAGTAAAGCCTTATTTAACAGAAATGACAGTCCTTCCTGAAAGGTATGCTTTTCAGTTTTAGTCTGCTTGTTACTTCAGTACCCCAAGCCAACCTTTTTTTTTCTTTTTTTTGTGATCTCTCTCCACATTCTGTTCATTCCATTGTAAAAATATGTCAGCAAAATCTTTCCATGCCAGTTAGTACAGCAATATAACTTAAGGTGTAGAAAATGAACTGCTGCAGAAACTATTAACAAATGGTAAATTCTGTTGTTGTTGGTTTTACCATCAGTATTTGATATGATTCATAGAGGACAACCTTAAATGTAATGGGGTTTGTGCCTGTTTGATAAGCAATGAGAGAGCTCCACTGCAGAAAATGCAAACTCTGTGCATCACAGTGAAGGAAATTGAAGTGCTTTATCACATGATCATTCATTTCAGTTTAAATATAATCCAATAAACCTTATGAAATGCAGAAATTTAATTTGGAACCTCGCCTACATCATTTGTTACATCAAAAAACAATTACTTAACACTAATGTCATCACAATAATTTAAAAAAATGCAACCTCCTTTTTTTAGTCAATGAAAGTTCCACTTCATCTGTATAGTGAATTTTGTTCAAAAAGGACATTGAGGTGAGAAAAAAAACCTGGTTCTGTGATCATGTCTTCAACTTAGGCAGGCATAAGAGTCTATTCATTTGTATCAAAATGGAACATAATCAAATCAGTAGTACATGCCTCTATTAAAAGATGCTGTCTCAAATACACTTTTGCTATGTTTGGTTTAACTACTGACTGTATGCTTAAATTATTTTGCTAAAATCTCTAGGACTGGGAAAAATGGCACAATATCCGTGCGAGCTCTGGATGGTCCTAAAGCCAGCATTGTGCCAGCCACATTCAGTGCTGTCTCTCCACCTGGATATACTATTCTGGATGTAGATGCTAATGCCATGCTGTTTGTTGGGGGTTTAACTGAAAAGATAAAGGTAATGTCTTGACTGGTGCTAGTGTATTAACTGGCTGTTTATGTGGACAATTTTCATTATTACTTACAGTAGAAATATTAAACTTTAATATGCTGACATCATTGTAGTAGCTGCTGTAGTAGCAAAGAGTACACCTGCACTCTTGAAAGATTATTGGGGTTTGCCTAGACATATAGGTGCACAGACCTGAGCTTTCTCTGCCCATGCTGTTAACTTCCAACCAGCAGCCTGGTGGCTGGCTGATTGACGCAGACTTTAGCCCAAGCAAGTAATTCCTGCAACTGGTGCTGTACCTTGGACATAACTACTGCCCCAACAGGCTTTCAGTATTCCAGTGACGGGAACTCATTTCTGTTTCCATACTTTCCTGGTCTCCTAACAATGTGTATAACAACGTATATTCCTCTACATTCAGGGGTTTTTTCTTTGTCGTCCTCATAGTATCAATTCCTCCTTTGCAGTCTACTTTTGGTGTTTCTGCTTTATTTTCTTTGGTTTTATTCCTGTTTTCCCCCTGGTACTACCCCTCTTTTTAGCTGCTACCTGCATCCAATCCCTGGGCTATTCTTTTTGCCTATTAATTTTTCTGGTGACTACTTCTACATTGCTTAACTTAAAGGGAACGAATAGAAGATTTATGCCAAATAGAACAGATGGAAATCTTTCAGCAAAAAGTGTTCTCCAATAAGTACTAGTTGGTATATATTTTCCAGTGGTATTCATTACAAAACAATTTAAATGAACTATTTTGTTGCTGATCAATTTTTTTTATTGTAACATTACAAAACAAATCCTCATTTAAAATTAAAAAAGCTAACATTTTGACTTTCCCAAGCAGTGAACTAAAAGAACTGGTTTTTTACACTAAAATTGGTGTATGTCCTCAAGTGTTAAAATAGCACAATATTTTATGGTCCAACTTTCTAGTTTTTAGAAAGTTCAACTTTCTAGATGGTTCTGGTTTGGGAATATGTGGATAGATGTATTCCTTTCTTACACAGAATAGTGTGGGTGCATGTTTCAAGAGAGACAAAGACAAAATCAGAGGATATAAGAGGAACAGAGAATGTAGATTCCACTTGCTTGAAATCAGTGTCTTGAAGTCCAGCTTTAGCTTCAAAGATATCCATGTGTTTTGGAGCACAGTCGGGTAACTTCATTTTAGAACTTGGTCATGGCTTCTGCAAGCACAAAAGAAGCAATTCTGAGCAGACTTGCACAACTACCAGCTAACTTAACTGAGATATATCTGAATTTGACAAGCATTCACAGGAACATGAAAAAATTTTGTGAGATTTTGGGCTAGGAAATTGCAAGTCAGTCCATATTAGTAAAACTCAGATCCACTCTCTCTGTTTTATCTGAAATGGATCCACAAAAAAAATCATGAACATTTTCAAGTTCTAAAGATGCAGGTGCAACGCATAATCTTGACGTTTCTTGTTGAACTTTAAGGGTGTAAATAACTGCCATGCATTTTCTTTTATGTAATTTGATTTCATATGGGAAATAGGCAAAGAAGACAATTGAATAATTTCTTGGAGAATTACATATTAGAAAAAGCAACCTTTCTGTCACCTTTTTCTATGTTCTCCTTACAGCCTTAAACAGAGGTTCTGGTTTGCTCTCTACCTTCCAGCTTTCTACCTAGAGGCAACTAAAGTTGTTTGCTTTCTTCTGTTAGCCCTAAACAAGAACCCTCAAAACATACTTCTAAAATTAATGAATCATCATTTGCTAAAAGTGGCTCTGTACTGCAGAGATTAGTGACCGTTTCAAAAGCAGAAAGGCCTCACTGGCTTTCTGCACTCTGTCTCTTTGATCTGCTTTTTCAAAGGGAATGGAAATAAATCAGGGAGAGGTGATTTATCTCCCACACCTAATTTACTTCTCGACTTTCTTTCATTCTTGGATTTTTGCTGTCAGATAAATTTTAATTTCCACTGTTGTTTTCACCCGTAACAAATCTAATCGCATTGGCATTATGTCCTGTTTTTTACTTGCCATGATAACTCAGTGGAATAAACACTCCACTCAGTAGAATTGGGATTATTCAGTGCTTGCCATGCTCTGTAGCTACAATGACCAAAGGCCCAAATACACCAGTCCATAGAGGCTATAGGGCATCTATGTGTCTGCCCACCTCACCAAAACGCTTAATTGTCAGAGTCTGACTGCAGGCTCAGGAAGACAGACTGGCTCAGGTAACAATTGTAGTGCCACAATTATGATTAAATGAATAATTTCATTGTTCTGTATTTAGAAAAGCATTTGAGAGTCTGGTTTGTACAATATTTGAATGTCGTTGACTCGGTTGAGACCCTAGAAAGTACATGGTCAGGTGGTTTTTGGCTTGTTGTCTTTCAGTGATCCCCTGAAGGAGTCATGAAACTTCAACCTCCAATGCCAGCCTAAACCCAAACCTTATTTTATTTTAGATTTCACTTTTGAATTATCAGAAGACAAGTGGGGCAAGTACTGAAACATAGTAATACCATTTATATTTGCACAGCTCTAGAACATCAAACCTCACAGACCAGGGCTTTCACCTGAATTCTACTTTGAAAAAAAAATCTTGTGTTTACATTAAGAATCCAGAGAATCAAAGATGATACAGAAGTTCAGCAACAACTGTTCTGTGCCACAGCATAAAGTAGGCTTGTGCCTAGTCCTAATTTCTGTAGCAAAACTGTCACATTGGACTAATAAAAATGTATGTTTTACTTGATGTCATGTCTAGGTTTAATTGTTATAACTATTTTATTGTTAAATAAAGAGCTTTTGGTATTGTGGTTTCATTGTAGAAAAAGTGAGGCAAAGGGATAAGGAGATATGTATTATCTGAGTAACCAGGCCCCAAAGCTGGTACCTACTGCTCCAATAAAAGATGTCACCACTCCTAACAAAGGTCATCTTAAATTGCACTTTCAGAGGAAAAATTAGTTTGAATTTTAAAATATTTAATATTATATCTACTGCTTTTACTTCATGTTTATTAGTAGTAATATTTATTTGGGGTATTTACTTAATATTTAAATACTGACAATATTTGAATAGTACTTAGTCAAGAAGAATTACTTAACAATGAAGCTTCACGAAGTGTGCGTTTAGGAAGAAGTTAGAGATTTAGCAGAATCTCTAGAGGGAAAAGGGTTCAAGGGTTTTTGATGTTTCAGGGTAAAAAAAAGCACCTGGAACACAGTAAAGTTTAAATCTGAACCCTTTCCTGAATGGTTTTCTTTTTTCCTTTAGTTAGATACCATGAGGCAGAGGTGGGTAGTGAGCACAGTTCAGCACATAAAACAGTTGTAGGATAGAGTATGAGGTGTGATGCTG